ATTGATGCAACATCAATCCACCAATTAGGTGTCTAGTTGAAGCCAAGCACGCATTCAATTGAACTAAAGTAAGAATAAAAACTCGTCACTTACAGACCAAGTGAAACGACTGATTTCAGTCGCACAACATAGTATAGCATCAACCACCACTTACCCTTAAGGAGTGCCTATAAGTCTGCAAATTCCTAGAATTGGGAAACGTTTTTGCCATTTGTATGTTCTTCTCATCTCCGTTGAGCCCTTTAAGTTGAATATCCTGAGACTCGTACAAACATGCACATCAGACACGCAGAGTGGTGACGCCTACTGCTCTATACAGCAACAGCGAAAGACGCTCACATATAGATCCGCATCGAAGTCAATCTCTAGAAATCCTTCAACATCTTCCCAAAGACTGTAGATAATTATATGTGTACCAAATTCTCCCATCAGATTAAACTGCAGTAAAGTAATAAATCAAAAGGTAAAAGACATGATTAAGCTGCCAACAGCGATCGGTAGACATCAAGACAATACGCCCAAACAAAGAAGCGAGATAGCTTGTATAGTACTAAATATGCATGAGTAAAACATTCACGAAAGACTCAATGTGCACAACCAAAACTTTCATATGAAAGACCCTCATTGAATAGCCAAATCTAAGGGATACACATTACATCAAGTAACAACACCATAATTTTAGGTCAGTGTCAGCCAGGATTTGGCAAAGAGTGTGCAAAAGATACATAATTTAAAATATATTGAGAATCATTGTGGTTCGATAATATTTTGATCTTGTGATAAAGAAAACTTTAAGTTAAAAACTAAGCCAGAGCACCATATTATATTAAAGCAAATTTCACAGGGAGGGGAAGGGATACATGACTGCTGAAAGAGATCCTCTTCAGCGGAAAAGGGAGAGCGCTGTACTATTGTTTCGAGATTTCTCTCCCAATTGCCAGACGAAAACCATATCAACTGGTTCCAACTGCCTTCGCGTCTTTCATAATCAAGCTGTTCCGTTGAGAACATAGATAAAAAAAATACATAGTAAGTGTTCTATCCAAAGAGTTATTATCTGGTATCATCTTTCCAAATGTATACAATAAGTCGAATTACTATAGAAAAGCTTAAATTTGTCAGACCCGTGCAAAAGAAAACAATTGCACTGCTTTCCAGTCGAAATTGTGTTGAGGCTAGTGCACTACCCAAAAGATCAGTATGTGGCAAATCACCAGAAAGTTAAAGGTTGATGTACATCATCAACCAAAAAAAAATAAATTAGATTCAGTTGTCATTATAGTGGGTACTACAATATCTTCCTTCCCCGTGCTCCTCAAAAACATTTATGAAAGCATCCCGATGCTGTGTAAAACTGAGAGAAAGTCCAAATTTTACTGAAAAAAGATCTAGATTGTCTTAAGAAAAAAATGCACATGAAAGGTAACAAGGCAATCAAGTTCAAAAGGGAGAACAGACCAATGAAAAAGTAGGTCAGTAGAACAAAAACAAGTCTCATGCGTCCTAAAAAATAGCACTAACAAGAGCATTGACAACATGATGTATTGGGCAGGCACGCTTCTATCAAGAGAACCATATGTCAGGGTATATCAACTTCAATTACTTCCATGATTTCAGGGTTACAAAGTGCAACTGAGCAACGAGTAAGAAGCTGTGGGCTTGTAGCAGTGCCTAATTTCTCGAAAAATTTCATGTGTGAAAACAGTGGGAAAGAGAATAAACGAGAGTTGACAACCATTTACAGGAGAAAGAAAGTTGCAGATAATTGAGTGACCGTGCAGGAAAAACTTAGGATCGATGGAATTAGCTAATTTGGCAATGGCTCAAACGGTTAGAAGGTTCTTTTGAGGAGTTCATCCGATGATAAGGGCCCTCTTGGAAATATCTGAAACTTTGTGTAATGACTACTTAACAGAATTACCAAAAGTGTGGGAAGTATATACGTGTTAAGCAAATTAGATGATGCAAAGAATTACTTTTGGAAATATTGTATACAAACCTTTTCCCATGTTTTCCATGACATCTCGAGAACACTATCACATCTGCCCCAAGCCTCATTGTGCTCGTTTTAAAACCATTGCCGTCTGCAGTTGGAAAAGAAAGAACACCGTGCTATCAAGCATATAACTTGAAAAAACTACAAGAATTTTCTCCGTAAAGATTTTTACATTGTCCAATGGTATTTGCCAGTTTGCTTTTAGTGGAATACCCCAGAGACATGCACTGTCGCATTTTATCTGGATCCATGCCACCGCTATCTGCGATTAGAGGACAATAGGAAGTCCTCATTTGAGCAAGGGTCGCACAATCTACTCTTAGACAAAGAATTGAAAAGGTTGCCACGGAATACACTTCTAAACAGATATACTGTACACGAACGATATTAGATATAAAAATACCACAGAAACAAAATCACATCAACTTATGATGACAAACTGAAGAAAAAGACAAAAAGAAACTCAAAAGACCCCACAGCTCTTCCAAAAGCTGTCTGATAGGCAATTCCCAAAGCTACAAAGTGAACAATTTGAGATCCATGATATAGATTATACAGTAGTTATTTATATTATGCACTATACACTTCAGTGGTAGCGAACCCCCTTTCTGATTGAAAGTAGCAGAAAAGGAAGGAAAAGAGCGTGGAAACAGAAACCCAGTCACTTCTAAAGAAAGCAGCTCCAACAGCATCGGTGTTAAACTGACTAGATCCATGATGTCACTGTCATCTCCACGGTCATTCCTGTTGTTTTCACAATTAGCAACCACATTATGGTCCAACTCATCACTTCCCCAGCATCCAATGATTATAGATGGTTGCTTAGTCTACTGCATGTGGACTGTTATAATCTCCAAATATCGATGGGCATAAAAGTTTCTCTATATCATTAACGCACAGAGCTGTTTACATACTATTCTAATTGCTTCTCATTCGATAAATACCAACAGTCCAGGTTCTATCCACCTGTAGAAACCACTTAGAACGAGATTAGCAATCTAATATAACAAATTGAAAGTTAACCATTTCTTACGCCATGTTTTTTTTTTTGAAGTTTTGACATTGCAGAAGTTGGTTTACAATCGTATTTGTTACGATTGATTGCCACCATACATCCCAAATACCATCAGCAATGGGTACAACTCTCCAAAAGGTGCATGAACAAGCCTAAAAAACGATCCGAGCGAAAGCATATACTTCAGAAGGGAAAACTGAGGATGCAATAAAACGGAGAGAAACCAACAAAGCAAAATACCTTTGATCAGCAACATTCAATTCCCATCTTTCTTATTTTTTAGCATATCTATCTTAACATATGCTGCCCCGTTAGAAACCTGAATCAAGACAGAGGAAGTAAAGACGCTAAATAGGAACTCCAAAACTAACCACTACATGATTGATAATAGATATAGGAACTACGCATACCTCATCCAATGCGTTATCCAAAAGTTCTGCAAAAGCCGAAAAAGATGCACAAGCAGCATATAGAAGCTTATAGACATCTAACTTCCAGATACAGAGATGATCAAACTTTGAAAGATAGGCAAGTTTACCTCCAATAGCCCACTTATAACTGGTTGCATTAGAATGTAGAAACTTCAGATAAACCCTGACATGATCAATGCCACCTGGATCATCCAACAGACATAAGAATATGTACCGGTAAAACAAACACTCGGAACTCAAAAAAGGGCTACAACCACAAACAAGACAGCGATGCTCTAACCTGGAACTGACAGCGATATGCACATAAAAAATTGAATAATTTCTCAAAATATTTCCAAGCACGCATTTCAATACACTAAAACAACGACGAAACAGAAGCAACAATGTAATTTAACCCTCTTTCCGCCACAACCTCAACATATCGCAGCATCAAAACTGAAGCAACAATAACCTAAACCAAAAACAGAAAAAAGCACAGACAGCCGCAAATAAACGAAATGCCACCTGAGTAGGAATCCCAATTGCCACCAGGACCGCCCTCATAATCCCCAGCCTTCCAGAACTGCTTAGCAGAGGCTGGAGGAAGCCCTCGGGGATAACGACGCCCAGATTCCTCTTCTTGGAAGGCCTTCGCCATCGGATTCACTGCTGCTATCGCTGAGTTCGATGAAGGACACGGGCTGTTTGTCCAAGACAACGTCTTTCCACGAGGATGACAACACAACCGCCTCTTGCTCCACACGAGCGTCCATGGCTTGCGACAAAGGAAACACCAGTTACCCATACAATTATTTCTTAAAGAAGGAAATCCTTCGTGTTATAGACTAGAGCTGATCTTATTCTTGGTCCTGAACCTAGTGATATGCAACATGGTGGATGTGTACACGGGCCACACTGACTACTTGGTCGTCGTCAATTCTAAGAATGTCTACGGCGAAATAGCAACTAAACTAAGGGAATGAAATCAACAAATTAAAATCAAGTTATTGGATCCATCATATGTCTAACCTCTCCAGAAATTAATCTGGCTCTCAGGCTGAGAGCAGAACATGGAGCATCGAGAAGAATTTGATCAAAGCTGTCGGGTATAAAACCTTTGGAATTCTCCAGCCCGGTGCCCTTGCACTGGTTCGTTCCTGGCCCATTCCTCATTCTTCTCATACACTTCTTCCTCCCCTCAGCTCAGCATGCATAAGTTCTCTCACTGCTATTATCATTTTGTTACTATAGCATTCACAACATCAGAGATCAGTGCTTTGTTACTTACAATTGGAATATAATTTAAAGAAGACAAGCGAATGAACATCACATGCATCGGGGGGAAGTTAAGAACTACAAGCTACGGTAGGAATATACAGATTTGACATCCCATAATCATAAGAGAGAGATAGATATTCGCTCATTTCCAGGGGGTGTGCAGTTGATAGAACGAGTCCTAGGATCTTACATGGCTCACTCAAAGAGACAAAAACAGGCAGAAAAAATTGAAGAGCCAAAGTCAAAGCTAGGCCCAATAGGATCCAAGAAACAAAGAACCGAACTCTTTCTCTTCGACTGAAAAAAATTCTGCATCAGGAATTAAATAGGAAGTATGCACTAGAAGGCAACTTCAATTGGTTTACATGACATCAAGCAATCTCAAAAGAAATCCCTGCTTAATCCTGTGTAGACATCTCAAACAAGACAAAGAAAATCCCTCCAGCCTAGACAGCTCAGGGAAGTAAACCACACTACTCCACGAGTCAATTATACACAGGACGTGAAGTTTTAAGTGAAATGAGGACGTCCATAATTCTGCCACGATTAAAGGAAAGAATGTCAGCCTGAAATATCCAGACTTAGTACAGAGAAAATGAGCATTCAGCATAGCACCTTTGCCTAAGGTTCAACTCCAAGAACTTCTAAAACACTTGAAATCTTTTGATCTTCATGTCATCCACATCTCCTCATTCCAGATGGCCGTGCTTCCTCTTCTTGCTTTCCTTCGCTCTCTCTACGACCTGAATACCACAGTTATAGCTCAAGTTTAATTGCACGTTGCCACGCGGCAAAGTAAGTAACTGAAGATGACTTACCAGAGGCCATCCATGCATAGAGGTGTTGGCCATAGCTTGCAGAGCATTCTGCGCTTCATCCTCCGTTGCGTACTCCACAAATGCAAATCCTCGTTTATTTCCCAAAGGCACCGGCGGCAGTGTCAAATGCTTTACCCTTCCAAATGGGCTGAAGCGCTCCCTTAAATCTTCCTCCCTTACCGAAGGTCGAACGTTTCCCACAAACAACGTGGTGGTCGAATCAGCTTCAGCATTCTTTCCTTGGCAATGTTGCAATAGAAGAGCACGCCCATCTAAGACAGTTTTCTGGAGAGAAGACAAATGCATTATGAGCATATTACAAAATGGAAGTTTATCGAGAAGAAAAAAGGAATGTAGAGTTTGGGCAAACGTTACTTTCATTGAAGAAACAATTTACAATATAAATACATAGGGTTTAGGGCTAAAAACAATACAATGACAATTATGCCCTTTAGTATAAACCTAATCTACCAATACTCCCCCTCAAGTTGGTGAATGTAAACATGTCAACAACTTGTTCTTAAAAGTACAAAATAAATCACGTGTTACCGGTTTCGTGAACAAGTCCGCGAGTTGGGAGTGACCGGGAATATGAAGAGTGCGCAAAGTGCCATCTTGAATTTTTTCACGAACCAAGTGACAGTCAATCTTGATGTGTTTGGTGCGTTTGTGGAAGACGAGATTAGTGGCAATGTGGATGGCCGCTTTATTATCACAAAAAAGATCAGCACTGGTAGTGTTGACGTGGAGATCCGAGAGAAGCGTGCAAAGCCATGTGATTTCGCAAGCGGCAGACGTCATAGCACGATATTCAGCTTCTGCTAAGGAACGGGCAACAGTGGTTTGTTTCTTGGAACGCCATGAGATGGGACAAGAACCAAGAAACATGCAGTAGACAGAAACAGATCGTCGAGATGTAGAACAAGATGCCCAATCAAAATCTGTATAACCATTAACTTGGAGAGTAGAATTGGATGGGAAAAACAAACCAGTGCTGTAACAGCCCGGATTTCGATGTCGATTTTCGAAGGCTTAAGAGACTATTTTTGGGAATCTGACGTCATATCACGCTGGCTACATACATTTGGAGTTAGTCCGAGTAAAAATTGGAATTTCGCCCCGGGACCGGAAAAATGACGGTTTTGCCCCTGTGAGCACCGAGGCTGGATTCGGAGGCCGTTTGAGGTTATTTTTCGAGGCCAACGCCATTTTTGGGTGGCCATACATACCAGGAGTCGTTTTGGACAAAAATTTGAATTTCGACAAAAATTGGAAAAATAATATTATTTTATTCCCGAAACTTTGCAGTCGATTTTCGGGGGCTTAAAAAGTGAATTTCGCGATTCCGATGCCATATTATATTGGCCACGCACATATGGAATGCGTATGTGCGAAAATTGGAATTTTGACCTGGGACTGAAAAATTACCAAAATGCTCTTGGACCCATTTTTGGTAATTCCGAATTTTGGATTTAATTAGGGGACTAACCAAGGTGAGTTAGGGCTAAATCAGGTCTGGTCAGCTTGGGTTAAGGACCAATGACCATTTTACCCCTAAATAATTGGATAAGAAGGAATTATAGCCATTGGATCAAAGGCAAAATTGTCCAATAGCCCTAGATCTTGACACTTGGAATCCACTCACCCATTGTTGACTCACTTGGACCAGACCATTTCTCTCTCTCGTGAGATTCATTCGGTCATTTCCCAGAAGAAAATCTTCTTCTTCTCTTCCGTTTAGTTACTGTGAGTTCACGTTTCAGGCATTTTCTGCAGTGCTGTTCACTTGGCCGAACGGCCCAGCCGGCCAGGCTGGCTGACCCACCTACCACCGCACGCCACAGCACCCTTGGACCTTCCTCTCACCTGTTCGGCCATCCACAGTCCCATTTCCAGCCCAAACAGAACAAAACCAGCAGCAAATCGCCTCCGCCGGCGTCGCCGCGGACCGCCGGCTTGCACCCGAAACGCCGCCGTCGATCCTTATCGCGCGTCGGTGATCGACCGCCCGTTCCCGTCGTCCCGAGTCGTTAATAGGCGAGTATAAACCCCTAAACCCTTAATTAGTTTAATTGTGCATTTTTAGGGGTTAATTAGGCCTAATTGAGGGTTAATTAGGTTTAATTGTGCGTGTGATGTTTTGTATGGGTCATTAGGATCTAATGAGATGTTTTAATGGTGGATTAAGGCCCAAAACAGCCCCTGTTTTGGTACTGTTCACTGAGTACCGAAATTGTGTATTTTTGTCTAAGTTTTGTACTAATTGAGTTCAATGGTTAATGACTTAGAATTGGACATTTTAGGGGCTAATTAAGCTTATTTGAAGCTTAAGTAAGTGTTTTTGGTAGTTGGGTGATTAGGGTATGTGATTAGGCCTTAATGTGATTGTTTAAGTGTGAACTAGTGACTAAGGCTTAATCTGCCCTGGTACTGTTCATTAGTACCGAAATTGCATAAATTTGTCTAAGTGTGGCACTAATTGAGTTCAATGATTCAAGACTTGAAATTAGGCAATTCAAGTGTTATTTGGACTTAATTGAGGCCTAATTAAGTGTATTTGGTTGTTGGGTGATTGGAGTTTGAGATTAGAGCCTAATGAGGGTGTTTAATTGTGGTTTAGTGGACAAAATGTGTCCTCCCCTGATACTGTTCATTGAGTACCGAATTTGTGCAATTTGTCCAAGTTGAGTACTTAGTTGAGTCATTGGTTGATGGCAAGTAATTAGGCATTTTTAGGGGTTATTTAGGACTTATATAAATCCTATCTATTGACCCAGTACCAATGAGAATGAGGACTAAGTCTAATTTGCCAAGGCGGGCCTTAGGCGCATTACATTGAATTGTAATAAATGTGCGGAATTAATGTTGAATGGGTTGGGTGAGAACGGAAATAAATTGATTGTATTGAGGATGAGTTGAATGCGTCTAAATCGAGCATGAGTATGTTTGGTATATTAGTGTGGGAGATCGACCTTGAGTGCCTTGGCTTGTATTCATCTCTCGTGACATTGTGTGGCTGATTTTGTGGAGTGCGATTGGCCAATGATTGGTTTGAAATATGTGTTTGAATTGTGAATCGCACGTTGGGCCGCACGGTATTAATTGGGCCAATTGAGCACGTGCTGTGATATTGAGTGATTGGATTTCATTGGCGCTCGTGGTGCATTGCATTGCATAACATGGACACGCATTGTGTATGCCAAGAGTGTGGCATGTGGTGAAATTGTGCGAGAATGCGTGTCTGCCATGAGCATGTGATCACCTAAAATACCCTGAAGCGTTATACGCTGGGTTCAGATAATAATAAGTTGTGTGATCACCTAAGGACCTTCGGGTCGATACCGTCCTCATGCACTTTGAAGCAGGACGATGCCCGGTACGTCCGGAAGGCGACCATCCTCATGCACTTTGAAGCAGGCTCTGGTTCGCAAGAAGATCAGTGTTGCGCCTCATGCACTTTGAAGCAGGCTAGAGACACTGGGCCAGATCGGTTGCTGCGCCTCATGCACTTTGAAGCAGGCTAGACGCACCGGGCCGTGAAAAATTGATGACTCGAGTCGTAATAATAATTAATTGGGCAAATGTGCCAGTGTGGGCCAGTGGGCCAAAGAAACGTGCATGACATGTCAATGACATTTGCATGCATAAACATGCATTGAATAGCATGCGAGTGTGTGAGACTCGGTGTATGAGCATGTGATTGGCGTACGTGTGATAATGTGTGCCACGTATGTCCCGTGATTATTACATATTGAACTGTCTAACCTGCAGGGTCAGAGAATTGTATGATTATGATTGTGTTATGATTTTAAATGTTTGTTTCCGGTCAGGAGATTGCATGTTAGCCTAATCTAGGTTTAGGGGGTCATACTCGCTGAGATTCGTCTCACGGTTGTGTAAACCGAAACATTTTCAGACCCCCAGCCGTAGGATGCCGAGGACACCACCACTTTTTGGGATACTGCATTTCATCCAGCGGTCGTTGAGCGTGCACCCCTGTGGAGACGGAGCAGATCGGAGAAGTGGCTGTTTGGTTATTCCTAGGAGTTGGTGTTTTATTTGAGTTGTTGGGAGCACTGTAAAAGAGTTTTAAAATAGTGATATAAGTATGTACATATTTTCTGCGTTGATCGTTGTTTATTGCTTGGCTATCCTTAGTCTCATGCGATTTATTGTATGGGTGTATATATTTATTTATATACGTGGCTTCCGTATGTGTTTGATCTCTGATTGGGCATTGGGTCGGCAATGCTTCCTGGGAGCGTTGCACCATAATCGACCGTCGACGGAATGTTGCGTTCCGGTAGAGTACTGGGCGTGACAAGTGCCGGGATTATGCTTGAGATACCGCACAATGCGAAGTACGGCATTCCAATGGTCTTCATTAAGAGAGTGCATAAATTGACTAAGATGTTGCACTGCAAAAAGTAAATCTGGACGAGTTACATTAAGATATAATAATCTACCAATAAGTCGTCGATATGAACCTGGATCCTTAAGAGTTGGAGAGGAATCCGAAAATTGTATGTTGGGTTCCATTGGAGTATCAACAGGATGTCCTCCAAGAAGACCAATGTCAAACAAAATATCAAGAGTGTATTTCCTTTGTGACAAGAAAATCCCAGACTTAGAATGAGAAACTTCAATGCCCAAGAAGTATTTGAGAGTACCCAAGTCCTTAATGCGAAATTGTGTGTCAAGGAATCGCTTGAGAAGTTGAATCATAACTTCATCATCACCCGTGATAACCAAATCATCAACATAAACAATGACAAATGGTCAAGAGAGAGCCATGGACCAATGTAAAAAGTGAATAGTCCGCCTTGGACTGTTGAAAACCAACATCAAGCAGTGCAGAAGAGAATTTAGCAAACCATTGCCTCGATGCCTGTTTAAGGCCATAAAGTGATTTCTTAAGCCGACAGACTAAATTCTCCCCCTTAGTATGAAAACCCAGTGGAAACCTCATGTAGACCTCTTTGTCAAGATCACCATGCAGAAAAGCGTTATTTACATCTAATTGGTAGAGAGGCCAATGACAAATTGAAGTAAGAGCTAATAAAGTGCGAACGGTTACCATTGTAGCAACAGGCGCAAAGATGTCATGATAATCAATCCCCTCTGTTTGAGTGTAACCCTTTGCAACGAGACGAGCTTTGTAACGCTCAATGGTGCCATTAGACTTATATTTGATTCGGTAAACCCATTTACATCCAATGGGTTATTTGTCAGGAGGAAGAGGAATAATTTCCCAAGTGTCATTCTGTTCAAGGGCCTGTATCTCAGAAGACATTGCCTCCCGCCACTTGGGAGATTGACACGCAGCGTCATAAGTTTCAGGTTCTTGCTTTAAGGATATGGAGGCTAAAAAAACACGGTGAGTGGGTGAAAAACGCGATTACAATAAATAATTGGATAAAGGGTAAAGATTACCTGATTTAGTTACCTTATAGTCCGAAAAGGATTGATCGGAGGCCACAATAGCGCAATGGTAGTCTCGAAGATATCCAGGTGGATGGCGTGGCCAAGATGGCCGAGGCACGGCTTCGGGTGCAGTGGGTGATGGTGCGGCTGTGGGTGCAAGGGGCTGAGGAGGTGAGGTCGGTGCAAGTACCGGGGTGGAGGGAGGAGGGGAGGTTTCACCAAGATCGGGTATGGGTAATGGAATTACCGGGGTATGTTCTGTTGTGGTATGGTCGATTGTTTGATGAAAAGGAAAATCTTGTTCATAGAAAATGACGTCGCGACTGGTAAAAGTTGTTTGGTCTTGAAGATCATAAAGACGGTAACTTTTGTGGTTTGTGGGATAACCGATTAGAACACATCGGCGAGATCGGGGGCCAAATTTATCGGAGTGAAGATGGCCGGTAGAAGCGTAACATAATGAGCCAAAGACACGAAGATGAGAATAGAAAGGTGGTTTGCCATAGAGAAGGTCATACGGGGTTTTATTGTGTAAGAGAGGACTAGGTAGTCTATTAATGAGATGAGTAGCAGTTAAGACACAATCACCTCAAAAATGAAGAGGCATACTAGAATGAAAAAGCAACGCACGAGCAACATTGAGCAGGTGACGATGCTTGCGCTCAACAACTCCATTTTGTTGAGGAGTGTGAGGGCAACTGCGCTGGTGGTGAACACCATGGATGCGAAAAAACTCTTGCAATCGAGAGGAAAGGAATTCAATCCCGTTATCATATTGAACATTTTGGACTTTGGTTTGAAATTGAGTCTCAACAAAAGCAAAGAAGCGAATCAGAGAATTAATTGCATCGGACTTAAAAGTAAGCAAAAAAATCCAAGTATAGTGCGAATAGTCATCAACAATAGATAAAAAATAACGACATGTCTGATGTGTAAAATGAGAATAAGATCCCCAAATGTCAACATGAATAAGCTCAAAGGGACATAAAGTAGCAATAGTGCTAGACGCAAAAGACAGACGCGTTTGTTTGGATAAATGACAAGCATCACATGGACTTAATCGTTTTGCTAGACTAAAACATAAGGTTTGTTGCAAAGTGGATAAAATTGACTCAGATGGATGTCCTAAGAGGGTGTGCCAAAGTTGAGGTGAAGAAGTTGCAATAGAGAGGACAGCAGGTTCGGTAGGAATCTCCAGATAATAGAGACCACCACGCTCATGGCCCCGACCAATGATCTTCTTCGTCAAGAGGTCCTGAAAAAGACAATATTTAGGAAAAAAATGTGACTAAGCAATTTAAAGTTTGAGTGAGCTTGGAGATTGATAATAAGTTGTATTTGAAAGAGGGAGCGCAAAGGACATTGTCAAGGGAGATAGTTGAGGTAAGAGGGGCCGAACCGTGTGATGTCACAGGGACACCAACACCATTTGGAATCCCAATGGTGGGATGTGGAGAGGGATAATGAGTCGGGTTTGTAAGGTGACGAGGTTCAAATGTGATGCTGTTAGTGGCGCCAGTGTCAATAACCCAAGTATCATAATTAAATGAACTCGAATATAAGCCAAGAACATTACCTAAGAGGTTGGCTTTTGGGATGTTTACCTCTTGCAACAAACGCATCAGTTGCTTATATTGATCATTTGTGAACGAAGGAGGTCCCACATCGGAAGTATGGTTGGCCTTGTTGTCCGTGGGCCGAGAAGAGGTAGATGGCTGTCCACGACGTTGCTTGTGGTTGGGAGGGAAGCCTTGAAGTCGAAAACATACATCCCGTGTATGTCCCAGGATGCCACAGTGGGCGCATCTTTCTCGACTGCGGGACGTGTTCATCCGTTTAGCCAGGTTGGCGAACGAAACGGGAGCACCAAGAGAGCCGGGCTGTCCGTGGGATGAGGAATCCGCGTATGGCCGCGGAGTATGGTTGCCGTGAGTGCTAAGCAAAGTGTTGGTCTGATCGGACAGTGGGCGATCCAATTGGATATGGCGGTGCGACTCATCCTGAAGAACTAGTGCATATGCACGTGCAACACTAGGTAACGGATCCATTAGTAAAATCTGACTAATAACATTAGCGTACCTCGGATTGAGACCCATGAGAAATTGAAACAATCGCAGATTCTCTTGTTGTTTGGTAATGATAGAATGAGCTGAACAAGAGCATTGCGGTAACGGATCCAAATTATTCAATTCATCCCAGTAACTTCGCAAGTTGTTGTAATTATCACCCGTAAGGACCATGCCGACGAGATTAGATCCAGGGTTATCAGAAGGATGCATAAAATAAGGGCTGTTCAGCTGCTCATGTGCGGGAGCGATGGCTGAAGAGGTTTGAGAATTGTCTACCATGGCGACTTGTGGCGACCGATGAGGAGGAACGTCAGGACCAAGGCAGCAACAACGGCGAATCAGTGAGGATGCAGCAAATCGCAGACAGGTTCGCGGGAGGCAGAGATCAACACCGGCAAACAAGATCTCGAGAATTTCGACGAGAAAGCAAAACTAGACCGCTGGATGGAAGCAGCGACAACACTGAGAAATCAAACCATGCCGGCGAATCGATCTGACCGAATCAGAGAAGGATTAGATATTGCTTAAGGGACGTGAGAGACGAGCTTCGAGAATCACCACTCTGATACCATGTAGAGTTTGGGCAAACGTTACTTTCATTGAAGAAACAATTTACAATATAAATACATAGGGTTTAGGGCTAAAAACAATACAATGACAATTATGGCCTTTAGTATAAACCTAATATACCAATAAGGAAAGACTTACATTGTAAATCCCGACAAACACAGGTGGCTGTCTCCACTGAGTCGAATTCTATACTCCCATAACCCATGGAAACTTGCTCCCCATTTACCATCTGCTTCTCAATCAGTGCAGATAACAACCATATTGTAATCAACAGCTGCGGCTCAAAAAACGCAACGTCAATTTTTGTGGCCCAAAGGATTTACCGAGACACTAAGAATTTTCCTCTCCCCCACTCGTTCGCAGAAGTGGCTTCGCAGAACCTCCTCAGTTGTCTCATAGTTGATATTCCTAACAAAAAGCGATCTTTCCTGTGAAAGCAAACTTAAAAACATAAGTATAATCCCCTAAAAGAAAAAAGAAAGCAGGAATTCCTCCTAAATAGTTTTCTGGATGCTGCTAGTATTATATGCAAAATTGCTGCATCAACGATCATCTAAAGCAACCGATTCCCCAGACAAAAAGACAAACTTCTCAGAACGAAATGGTAAACTACTTCAACCGGAGGAGAATACCACGAAGTGCGAGCACAAGCAAATGCGGCAACATAACTCGGAAGGCAAATAGCAACAAGTAATGGCAACCAAACAACACTCGATGGCAAACTCGTCCGAAACGATCATCTAACACAACCGATTCCCCTGAAAAAAGACAAACCACTAGGAGCGAAATGGTGAACTACTTCAACCAGAGGAGAATCCCACGAAGTGCGAGCACAAACAAACATTAAGAATCACTTCCAAATAGACACCATTCCATTAAGAAACGCAAACGCAACGATCCCATGAACAAACATAGAAAGGCAGCAAACAACACTCGATCGCAAACTCGTTGGAAACGATCATCTAACACAACCCCGATTCCCGAACAAAGACAAACTAGAGCGAAATCGTGAATTACTCGAGATAAAAGGAGAATACGACGAAGAGCGAGCACGATCAACCGCGGTCGAGGTTTTGCCATTCTTCGCAGCAATCTTTCGAGTATCCATGGCGAAAATCCTAACTCGAAGCCTGAGCAAAACTCCGAAACAGAACCTCCAAACGAAGAGGAAGCTCTCACTCCGGTATCACTTGAGCTCTCTCGTCTGGGAAATCATGGAGCTATAGAACTTTATAGAACATTATCTTTGGCGGGAATACTAATGCTGGGATATATTTGGGAAAATTATAAAAGGACGGGCATTTTTTCGATAACTTTGAAAATTGAGTTAATGATTGGGCTTTTTTCTGCAATTTAGGCTATGAATAAATTACTCCTTCCAACCGACTAACGAAATAAAGTGACTCATAAATTTAAGCTGTTGGCATGCTTAAACATGCAATAAAGCATTTCTCTTATATTAAGTTCATGCAACAGGTTAGATGCGTGAATAGTTCTATTACTTGCCCCTACCTACGCCCCAACGATGGAACATTTCATAAGCTTTTCCTAAGATCGTGCATCTTTCTTAATAAATGTAGTTCAAATCAACAAACAGGTTCATCGGGATATCTTTCTCAAGCGAGCTGCCTCGCAACTATGCGATCAGTACGTGCCGCAATGTCCTTTGAGACCCGCCTGCTAGAGCACCAAGAAGAAGATACGATACTTACGGCATCATTTTGCACCATGTTTCATGCTGCGAAGACAATAAAATGCATTCGACCAACCAAAAAAAAAAAAAGACAATAAGATGCATGACTAATGGCTTGGATGGACAACAAGATATGCAATGCAATTTGCTTCTTTTTTTCTTTTTTTTGAGAAAGTTGTTCGGCTTACTTTGGCACTTTGGAAGAATTTCTAGGCAGGATCTTGTTATCCTGTAAGAGTTATCATGATGATATTTTACCAAAACCAAGCAAGCGCAACATTGATGGACGACTTGCATTGTACCTATTCGAGTCATAAATATATCTGTCCTTCTTACTCGCGCGAGAATTTAGTTTAGACGAGTACCCATGCTTGCACAATCCCCTGGAGCCATCTAGAGCAAGCGCAAACCTGAGCTCGGATAAGGTGAATTGAAGAATCGTCGAGCACCTCGTTGTTAGGAAAAATAGGAATACATGTAATGAAATGCACAAGGGTTAAATGTACTTAAGTTCCGTGAACTTTTATAGTTAGTTCGTTTTTTCGGCCTCGGTAATGTTTTTTTTCACATGAATAGTTAATCCTTGTGGCGGCTGTAATAACGGGACACTGGTAAGATTTCTGACACGTAATAAACAAAAAAAAGTGCTCAAACTTCGTTACTGTTCACATGTGCAAGACCCCTCATTGATCAGTCTAGTCACAAGCACTCTAATTATCGAAAAACACCTGGTCAATATCTGTATTGATATGAGCTTCTTTATTTATGATTAAACATTAGCAAAAAGTACTTTTCTTTTGCTTTTCTGTTCAAGCTTAAAAAATTATCTAAATCTACAAATAAACTATGCAAAATTATATGCGACTTTACATGTCAACTTTTACTATGTTGGCGAAAACTTTAGGTGTTTTAGGTTAAAAACAAGCCAAGTGGGTTCCTAGCAAGCTTTAGATCATAGCAAAAAATAAGAGGCAAAAACTTCATTGAATCACGTTGTTTTCAAGTTAATCATGCTCGTGTTATGTCCGATTTGTGTTTCTTTTGACAATTCTGTTTCGATGTTTTTTGAAGTAATGGAGCCTGCACCATGTTAGGTTCATGCTTCTTCTATTTCATGCAACATTTTGAGTAAATTATCGAACTTACGAGCCATGTGCCTTTGAGTGGTACTTCTCATATAATCCAAATAGCGGTCCAATTGTGTCACAACTGGTGTTGTCGCCATTTGTTCGTTTGAAATTACATGAACCAATTTGAAAAATTTACGCATGATCTAAAAACAAAGTCGCATGTTATAAAAGTTTCTCTCTCTAGATCTTCCCTCAGCTTTGAAGTGTTTCCCAAGTGTTTGGATACACGCTTTCGTCTCACATCAGTTTTATATCAAAGCAGAAGTTCGTAAGTCAATTGCCGTCCAAGACCAACTTTTGGATTAGAGTTTTTGCTGACCATTGTGATCAAGCTATAGCATTAAATCTAGCCGTGTGCCCCGGGTTACAAAAAAAAAGGGGAAAGATTGTGACATAGAGCTCTCGTTTTAGGCAACCATGCCCGTCGAGCGCTTCCCTACCGGCCAGGGATTGATAGCGCACCTACGAAACATGCCATTACCAACGATGGAATAATCGCTGAAATCCAATACAAGCACCGTTCTTGATTACATGGGAGATGATGTGAAACTTTCCTAATTATTATCATCTTTGGTAAGTCAATTTAGATGTCGATGAGCATGAACGGAAAAGAACTAATGATTTCATGTAAAGATCCAGATATTTGTTTTTCCATGTACAAAGCAGTTTCGTTCATTTACTCATTGGAAAAGGGCTTAGCCCAATTCCCCGTGTGTGAAGCAATTTCATCACTTGACTCGTTAGAAAGGGCTTCTGGGCAATTACACCGAGGTTCCATTTCTCTTTTACTAGTTATCCGATTAAGATATTAGTTTTACCGATCACACCATGTATATCGGTGTTGATGCATTCCTCTAATTAGCTTTTTGATTATGTTGATATTGTGATTTATTGAGTTGTTGCCAAGTTTTGGCTAGTCTTTCCCTTTCCTCTTATCTTTTATGTGATTTTCTTCCTCTCTTGCTATCTAATTTTCTATCCGTTCTATGATTCTCAACAAATCTTTTGCTATGCGCTTCCGTCCTACGTCACCCAAGCTGGACAATACCACCAGCTCCAAGTGGGTGCCATATCCACACGAGAACACTTAAAAGAGTTTCTTAACGGCGACAAAATTTTTCGAAATGGTCATAATTGGTCTCTAATGCTAGTCGTGTCTCCATGATGGCTCGAAAATTAAAAGGTTGGCAATGTGGCATCAAATGATTGGATCCAACTTCAGTAATCTCTTTCAATTACAAACCTACCCTGTTAAAAATCAATTATGTCCGATGGGTGTGACTTAATCCGCCACGACTAAATGTAGAGCCCGAAACAAGGGCCGACTTTGTTTCTCTACAATAATTTTCTATACCCAATGTTACATTTCTTTCCTTCCAAAAAGTTGCACGTCCATCTCAAATATATGACCATGAACTAACAAGTGTTGAGGTTTTTGGTCTTCTGGAGATCTAAAACTCGTGCGGCCTAGACTAGATGATGACCATACAGGGGTTCATCTCAGAAGTGGTGTCTCTAGTTATCCAATTCTTTATTCATTAGGAGCCGTCAGGGCTTCAACCTTACTAACTCACCATCCTCTTCGACCCTGATTGCTTTTTGACACGTCCATGAGCCGCCAAGCCTCTGGTCACGTCGATGAACCCCTTTGAGCATATAGTCGTATTAGATTGCAATGACCAATGAGTCTGTGTTTTTCGCACGTTAGGATTATGTTAGTGTTGACATCCAAAAATGACTAAATCTTTTTAACTGACATGACACTGCTAGGAGTCGGTGATCTTGTCGCCGAGTTATCAATAACGGAGACGCTGTGGTCAATGACCATGTTTATCAATGACCATGATGCAATTATTGTTGGAATTACATAAAATTGATTATCAATGAGATTGAGCACGTCGGATGAGAAGGCTGCAAGCATTAAAGAAGAGCCATAAAGACTTCAAGAAGGCTTCATAGCTGTTTTGTTTTATTTATCAACGATGTGTGGTTGTTATGTCTTCTTTATTGAATGTTGTTGGCGTTTGTGAGCTTTAATTCCTATACATAGAGGGATGAAGGTATGAGTAGTAAATTAAGCCATAAGCACGAAGCCCCAAAGAGAAAGCATTCTCAATAAAAAGTTCTCCAAAGTTTCCAAAGTTTATTATTATTCTTTTGGTACCAACAATAAGAGGATATCGAAGAAGAAGTGAGCTCAGGTTATCTAATATTGTACTTAACAAAGACATATATTACCGATTTAGTTAGTGTCCTACTGTGAGAAGGAAAACCCTACTAATATAGAGAAGCTTTCGTTTTTCATAAATCTTGATCCGAATGGCATACATTCTCCACATGGTGTTCACTTCTAAGAAAGCTTTAAGAGTTGTTGGGGTTGGTGAGATTCTTTTGCCTGGAAATTTTTTTATAGTGTGCTTTTCTTTTTACCTGGAGAATGACTAGTGTTAGATAAAATATTCAGATCATAGTGTAGTTTCCAGCGCATGAAGCTCTTTACTTAATTTTCTCCCTCACTAACTTAATTTATTTTATTCTTAGTTTAACATACTTCCTTATATCAGTTACCTTCGAATCATGTATATCATCGGGGAAAATTATCCAAAAAATCCAAAACTTATTACACTTTTGCCAATTCAGTATTAAACCTTTCAATTTTGCTAATTAAGTCTTGAAGCTTTTCACGTTTTTTCAATTGAGTTCATACAGCCAGTTTTGGCCGAAAATCGCTGACATGGACACTGGCCGTTCTACGTGGCGTGGTCGGCACTGATGTGGACAATTTATAATAATATTTTAATATTTTCCAAATTTTTAATAAACTTTTTTTTATTTTTTCTTTTCTTTTTCTTTTTTTTTCTTTCTCTTTATCTTCTTCACTTTCTTACCGTGGCCAGCGGCCAGCAAGGGATACGATTTCTCTACTCTTCTAGGTTTAGGTTTATGCGGTGGGATTGTTATGTATGAACTCTTAGCATATGTTGGAATATAGAGCTTGAGAGATGATGGTGCTTCTAGGCGTGGCGAATGTATCTCTAGTTCTGAAGGCTCTTTGAGCTGAAGTTTTGAGATGGATGGTGCTATGCTTGCGATGGCGAAACTCTTGGTTCTTGCGTGAAGGAGGACTTTGATGTATGTGATCTGGTTCTTGCAGATTTGTGATGGCAAAACTCTTAGTGAGCTATTGAATTCGTGATCTGTACACGGTCCACCCCACCAGTTGCAGTTCTATAATGTGCTAAACCTAGCATGAGGTTTGAAGTGCTTAAAGAAATGTTTGTGGTTTAAGTATCCTGTGTCCTGTCTGTCTCTTTCTGTGTTTTGCCAGGGTTTCATTTGAAAGGTTCGTGAAACATTTTTTTTTCAAATATTTACGAATGAAATATCTTCGGATCTTCGGAACACTTTTGATAGTACAACACTGAAATGATGATTGGGTTATTGAGTGAACCTTTCCCGCTGTTTGAAATCTGCTAACTAATTTTTCGCCGGAACGTCAGCAGCAGGATGAAGCCATGTGCATCACCTAGTGCCCCGTGATTTTGCAAGTTTATAATTGGCTGCCGGTTTCATGTTTCTTTTTCTCTTACTCGTTCTACTGGTAGTTTTACTAGCTTCATTAGAAAGTGAGATCCTTTTGATTCATGGTGCTAATTCTGATTCATAGTGCTGCTGGCAGTCAAGAACGCTGAATTTTGCTTTGTGGAAGCTGGCTCTGATTTCTTTTTCCATATAACCTTTATGTGATGGATTTTTACTATTTTTAAGGTGCCTTACTCCAAGGATGTTTTTGGGATTTTATTCCCGATTCACTTAGAGCTAACATAGTGCCGGACAAGAAATTGTGTTAAGTAGAACTAGTTCCTCCATGTCTTTGCTCGATAGACTTGGCATGTGGTGGAGCTCGTTCCCAAGCCTTAGTTTAATTTTGCGTTTATTTTTTTTACCTTTGGAGAATATCTGGTTTTTCTGATGAACTTATTTATCTTAGGTTTGAAAGTAGGGCCTAGTCTTCAATAGGGTAAGTTTTGTGGACATACAAATTTCACTCGCAACTTGGAAATGGAACGCAGAAAAGGGAAAGGGAGATCAAGAAAAGTCCAGCACATTGCTCGTTACTTTAGCTATCCATGTATGATGTTACCATGAAAGCCTTATTTTCATTTATGGCTTCTCAGAGTTGGAAATTTGACAGTAGAAATCATCTAAAAATCGAACTGAAAGCATCCTGTGGCAAATTTAGTTTCAAGATCTTGATTTGATATCGCAAAATAAGCTGGAGGATGATGCAATTTCCAAATGGGGAAACAAACTCATGTTCAAGTAAAACGAGTTTGTTTGGAGATCTTTGACCTTTTCTGACCTCTGAGTTGTCTTACAAGTTACATCGGCGAGCTGTGGATAGCAAGAAGTTCCCTTCAATAAGTAATGATGGAGAGGAATTATTTCGGTTGCACTCATGTCTGAAGTTGCCTTGCATGGTCAACAGAAAAAATGCCATTGGTCTTTTGAGGATATGAAGTTGGAATTTTAGTCAACATAAATTGTCACTTGACACTAATATTAAATGATCCTGTATGCCTGCTTGCTTGGTAGTTGGAGGATAAACGTACTTTGCGTTTGTTGAGTGGACTAACGAAAGATGGCGCATTGAAGTTTAGTATGAATGTTGGAAGGAAGATTCAACTAGTATGAGTGATATCCGATGCGGGCTCTAAGTTTCCTCTTTTCACTAGGAGGGAATAACCGCATCATTTATCTTCACAAAAGCATGACTTCCAAGTTAGTTTGTGACCTTCAGAATTTAGCTAGTGTTGGAAGTTTGCAAGAGCTTAACGGGTGGATTAATGTGATGTAGGTGGGATTTATGTGATGAGGGACGTTGCTGTGAATTTTTTTAATTATCACCGAATGTATTGAGTTCAATTGTTCAACTTCTCAGGTACCGTGCCATCACTAGTGCTTACTATAAAGGAGCTGTTGGCGCTATACTTGTGTATGACGTCACCAGGCGTGCGACTTTTGAGAACGTTGGAAGGTGGCTGAGGGAGTTGAGGGACCACACCGTCCCCAACATCGGGGTCATGCTCATTGGCAACAAGTCTGATCTCCGCCACCTGGTGGCGGTCCCATAGGAGGAAGGGAAGTCATTCGCCGAGAATGAGTCACTCTATTTCATGGAGACTTCTATTGGGAAAACCTCATAACATATTTTGAAGTTAACAAAATTATCTATATATGTTTTGTAAGTCTGATCAATACTTTGAAGTATTTTCATTTAAGAAGTTATTCTTGAAAGAGAAGATGTGGCAATCATGTTCAGATTGTGAAATTACTTCAAGATGTTTAGACTTTATACTTCAGACAAAGAGGTTCAGACTTTATACTCAAAGAGATTCAGACTTTACACCAGAGATGAACTTTAGACATAAGTTTAGAACGTAAGGTCCAGAACGTACGTCTAAAACGTAAAGTCCAGAACGTGACACGTATTCAGAACATACATAACGACTAGTAATATGGCTTGAATTTCATGTTTAAAATAAATTGATTGACTCAATCATGAAGATTATTTTGCAACGGTTTAATATGCAAAATATCTTGATTGATTGGCAATTAATCTCGAGATAAGTCACTTTCCAAGCGAAGAAGCGCTAATTATGGAAATCAAGACTTTGGTTGTATGGGCAACCATATTCAGCGGAGATTCGGATTTTATCCCTCAACAGCTACGCAATCTTCTTGATGCAGTTCTGTCCAACAGGTAGATTAGAAGACGATCCTCTGGAGACTGTCTAACGACTAGTTTGAAAGTAGAGGAGTATAAAAAAAAGATCAACGTGCCGAGGAGTTAATCCAGAATGTAGAATTCTAAACTCTAAGCGATCTTCAATCTTTATACTTGCCTTTCGTGAGCTTAAACGTGTAATCAATTGAGAGGTTGAGACAGTGTCATAAGTGTATACTTAGGTGTGAGATAGTGTGATCTATTGACTTGGTATAAGCAGAACCAGCTTCGGGGAGAAGTGCATGGGCTTAAGCAGCACAACTTGCTGTAACTTCTCATTGATTTGATTAGTGGAATCCAGCCAGTAGACTGCCAGCGTGGGAGAATGGACGTAGGCTTGATCTAAGCCGAACCACTATAATTTCTTATGTGCAGTTTTTTTATCCCTAAACTCTTATCCTATCTTTTATATTGCACACTAGTACATTGTTTATAAAGTTTGCTCAAAATCTGAATGTCTTTCGGACTTTAATTTTGATCATTTGTTTCTGCTTTAAAAATTGATTAAAAGTTTTAGATCACCTATTCATCACTCTCTAGGTGATCCTTGCTAGCTACGTCAACTTCCGCATTGGATGCGACCAATGTGGAAGCAGCTTTCGCCGAAGTCCTTAGTCAGATTTATCGGATCGTGAGCAAGAAAGCAGTCGAAGCGGGTGACGACCCAGGTGCTTCTTCTGTTCCAGGTCAGGGACAAACGATCAATGTCAAAGAAGACGGAATGTCAAAGAAGACGGGTCTGTTTTAAAGAGGATTGGATGCTGCTCTAGTTAAGGGGGTTCTTTAGTTGCTTGTTGCAAGTAGGGAGGGTCTGCCAAGTGCTACCTCTGTGTATATTTTTTCTTACACAAAATGTCCTCTGATATAAATTGGAGTGGGAATTGTTGATGCAGGAATTCTGGAAAGTTGGTCTAAAACTAGTCAGGCTAGTTGAATTTGATAACTAGGTCGAATTGAAATGATGGTATTCTAATGGTGACATCATATTAACCAATACATTCCTGATTATTGCTCTGATGAGTCGAAATTGACAATGCAAGTACAAAACCCATAATCATTTGTTTTCCTTATCACAGCAAAATCTAGTATTTTGAGCTGTGCATAATGAGCATAAATGCTATTTTTGTGTACTAGGATGAGAATGAAAGCACTCTCATTTCTCAACATTATCTCAAATAACGTAACACTCGTTTACAATTGTTTCGACAACATGATTTAATTGAGTCATTTTGACAAATTTAAAACAATGATTTCTTATTTATGGACAGTCATTCTAATATATTTGCTCTTGTTAGATACTTTGTCAAATTTGTTCAAATTGCATCTTAAGGATTAAATGCCTTGCTCTCGTAACAACTAACATGTAAGCAATTGAGGTTGTTTTATTTTTATTTTTTTTCGGGACATTACTAAAAAAAATGTTCTCCATATTGATCGTGAAGAAGACGGACTAAAAAGGGCACTCATGCTTCACAAGTCATTAAAACCCGAGAGTGCCAAATCCTATCATTCTTAAGTTATAAAATAAGGTGGATTCGATTTCTACCGTTAGATTTGTTTGATGTGAATTGACATCCACTGTTGTTAGATCAAGATGAATCTCCACCGTTGGATTAATTAGATGAGAAGTGATCCTCCACTGTTAGATAAAAAAAAATGGATGGTTGTAAAGAGAGGTACTTGTGTATAAATAGGGCACCCTATCTAAGCATATGAGTAACATGTATTTTTTAGAATTTCTCTCTAAACATTTTCTCTCTCTAAAATTCTAGTGTAAGAGTCATTCAGTGAGGCCAAGCAAAATTGATGCTGCAATTTTGCATATAATTTTTCAAATTCCCTTTCCTTCTTAAAGCTGCCCTTCTTTCGACATAGTAGCAGCAATTATGCATGCCAGAAAACAAGTTAGGAGAAAGTCTCGCCTTTTTTTTAGGCATTATACGTTTGTTTTTGCCTTTAATTTTACAGGCAAGATTTCTTCGTGTTAAGAATATCAAATTTAACACTTCTGAGGAGGCTTGGAGGAGCCACTTTAGCAAACTAATAGAGAAGAGACCAATTCTCCGGGTCTTTGATCCGGCCACCGTTGAACTGGAAGCCATTGAAGCACATAATGGCTTCTTGCACGGCCTTCTCTGTCCGGAACCCGATATAGGCAAATCCCGGCTCTGACCATCGCTGCACATGTTGAAACACACTGGTTCAAAGAAGCGTTCAAGGAAAAGAGAGGGCTCGCAAGAATAAAAAGAGAAAGAGGGTGAATGCAGCACATACTCGGTCACATGATGCAGACGTTTGTAACTTCACCTATGGCGGAGAAGAGGTAGCGCAGGCGGTCCTCTGCCACGTGGTCGGACAAATTTTTTATGCGAATTCTCAACCTGCACATGAAAAACCCCCAGAATCATTGGTTCCTTCTTTCCGAGTTCAACACCAAAAGATTTCCATGAACACAAACGGTAACAAAAGTAGTATTTAATCCAAATCGAAACGAAATTTTCTGGAAAACAATTACAGAGAAACTAGCTGGATGAAGACTTTTTAGTTTACTTTAAAACACAATTACAGAGAAAACAAAAAACTATGAAGATTGGAATTGAGATGCTTATACTTCTTGAAAAGTAGAAAATGGGAGAGTGGAAACACACTCTCACGCGCGCGCGCAATTATTAATATTCCCTGTACACAACAACTACAATTTAGCAGACCAAAAGGAGAAACACCAAAAGGCAGTTCTAAATCGCTCTCCTATCTATGCAATAAGTTCAGCGAGGGAAGCTAGAATCCACGTCACACCAGGCGCAGCTTGAAGACTCGAGATTAAAATGCACTTGGGAATTCTCTAGCCAAGAAACAGAGACGTACAGATGAAGCAAATCGATTCACAAATCAATCATTACATCAAGATCAAAGGAAATCAATCCATCGATTAGTGAACCTAGAAGCAAGACGCACCTTCAATGCCGCCAATGGAGACGGAGATGAGGAAGAGAAAGGGAATGGGGTAATTTCTGGTCAGTAATTTCCAGCCACATAAGACGGTCGGCGTCCTCGTCAGTAATTTCTTATCAAAATTTGCCGGATAGACTCAATTGGCAAAAGTTGAAAAGGTTTAAACTCTGGTATGTGAACATATGAAGTATAAAGACTAAAGAAATGAATTTCACTATTGAGAAAAAGACCTATAAGGTGCGCATGGCAATTATTCTGTACCCGGGAACTGATTTTGAGCATTTGAAGGCGTTTGGTAACGGCCCAAAATTTCTATTCCTGAAATAGTAAAAGAACAGAAATGCATTTGGTAACGGCATAAAATTTCTTTTAATTAATAATATTTTAAATATTTTAATATTTCTTTCTTTTCTTTTTTTCTTCTCCTCCTTCTTGGCCATGGCCGGTAAAATATTTTTAATTAATAATACTTTTATTAAAAATAATTTTTTTATTTTTTTGGCCATGGCCGGTAAAAAATTTCTCTATTAATAATACTTTTATTAAAAAATATTTTTTTATTATTTTTGGCCATGGCCGGTAAAAATTTTTTTATTAATAATATTTTTTTATTATTTTTATTGAAAATATATTTTTTTATTTTTTGCCATGGCACGGTCGTCGACCATGGCCGAAAAATTTTTTTCCTTTTTTTTGCCATGGCCGATAAATTTTTTTATTAATAATATATATTTTTTTCATGGCTTAGTCGCTGGCCATGGCTGGTAAAATAATTTTTTTTTGTTCATGGCAAGTAAAACATTTTTTTTATTAATAATATTTTTTTAGTAAAATATTTTAATCTCGCCAGATACGGCGAGGGTGACCCTCACACCGGACATTAGAAGCTACATTAAAAACCAGAACAAGAAGAAGAAAAAAAAATTGATTCTCATTTTTGTTCCTAGAATCAAGAAGTTACTTTTTTTTTTATTCTTGATTCTGCTTCAAAACTGATTCTAGACACAAATTTGCAAGAATTTGTGCCTAGAATCAAAAAATTTAACAAACGGATTTCTATTCCAAAACTGATTCTGGAAACAAAAGAACATAAATTTTTACTATTTGGCCAGTTGCCAAACAAGCCCTAAGTCGCTTGAACCAAGCACCAATTTTTAAGTACTCAAAACTTCAAAACATAAGTAGTGAGGGAAAATTATCCAAAAAGTCATAAATCTATTGCATTTTTGCAAATTCAGTTCTAAACCTTTCAATTTTGCCAATTGAGTCCATTCAGTCAAATTACCCTGGAAAATGCTTATGCGTCTTACATGGCACAGTCAGCACTGACGTGGATAATTTTTAATTATATTTTAATATTTTTTTAGAATTTTTTTATTAAATTTTCTTTTCTTTTTCTCTTTTATTTTATTTATTTTTTTTGTTTTCTTTCTTAACTTTTGTTGTTTTTTAACCAGTGGCCGAATGGCCTCACCCAGATCAAGGCGAGGCCATAGTGGTCTCGGCCGAAGGCCGCCTCACCCACAGCCGGTAAGGCCAGGCAAGGACCCGGCGACCCTCGTCTACGGTCAGCGAGGGCCCGTCGACCCTTGCCGGCTATTGCTATGAAAAAAAAACAAGAGTAAACGAGGAAAACCAAAAAAAAAAAAGAGAAAAAGGAAAGGAAAAAGAAAAAATTCAAAATTCAAAAAAAGTTTTAAAAAATTAAAAAATTATTAAATATTGTGCACGTCAACGCTGGCTAAATAAATTCCAGTCAAAATTGGTCGGATGGATTCAATTGGCAAAATATGAAAAGATTTAGAAATTAATTGGCAAAATTAAAAAATTTATGATTAAATTGGCAAAAATACAATATATTCAGGACTTTTTAGATAATTTTTCCTAAGTAGCAACCACCTAAGGTGATTTTTTCTCAACTGCAAGTGTATTTAAGATTTTCGGTTCACCTTGTTGGCCTATACAAGTAAACATGGCATTCCTTTCATAGGTAACTCTAACTCATATCTATTTTCGACAAAAAAAAAAAAAACTAATGTCTATTGTCTAGCACGGATAGACTCATAGACGTACACCTTCGAGGACGACAGTTTATCATCAACTGTACTGGCTTGCAAAACATTCATTAGAGGAACTTCCCTTATAAATTGTGGACACTATTTTAGGCCATGGAAGGGCCGAAGCATCAATGATTTAACATTCAAGACTACTCAATTAGTTTCCCCATTTGGAAATTGTATCATCACATGCCTCTAGTTTATTTTACGAAATCAAATCAAGATCATTAAAATAAACTTGCCACAAGATATGTTTAGTTTAATTTATAGTTGATTTCCACTGTCAAATTGAATTTGATCATTCTGAGTAGCCAAGATTGACCACAATGGTTTGATGGTAACATCATACATGTCTAGCTAAAGTGACAAGAAATTTGCTGGACTTTTCTTACCCTCCCTTCCTTTCATTCCATTTCCAAGTTGGGAACCAAATTGCATATCCACAAAACTTCCTCTATTAAAGTCTAGGCCCCACTTCCAAAACCAAATTTGCATATTTTGCTTTTGCATATGGATGACGTATTGCTGGAGTACCATTACCACTATCAATACAGACTATTACATAGCTTTCTTCTGTTCTAGCAATGTTTACTGCATCATCTACTTCAAACTTCGAAAAATTTACAATGCCAGCAATAGTGGCTTAGAGAAAAAACCGACCAAAATGATAACAGGTTTCATAAACATGTTTTTCCATTGATAAACTATTGAATCCATCAATTTAAGACCAAAAGAGAGAAAATGTTAACTGAGAATAGTGACATGAATTGTTAGTATAATAGAAACTGTAGAAATGAAATAAATTAGTGCTCCCATGTTTGAAAAAACCATATCAACATACTGCCATGTGTACTACTGCACGGGGAGATATTCTTGGTAAACTAAAGACCTTTTTTGAAAATTCCAGAAGCATATCCGGGGGAGAGTCCTTCTGTACGCCGATGTCAATCCCACTTCGAGTTTGTCCAAAGTTCTTTTTAGTAGAGATCACCATTTTCTTCAAAACCAGTGAGTTTCCAAGCAGAAACTCGATTAGCTCAATCACATATGGTTCGGTCACACATGCATATACCATTACATTCTTGAGGTGGTATGCAAGACAATGAAATGTGCCCTCAACTAAATTCCAGTAACTCCTTCCATCAAACTTACATGCTCGATTCCACGTACCTCCCTAACAAAATAGCAAACAAAGTGCAAAGCTCAAGCATTGATAAATCAAATAAATTTAATTTCTAAAAAAATATAGGGATAAGTGCATTGAAAGTCCTAAAACTTGTCATCAAAGTACAATTGAGTCATAAAACTTTCAAAAAGTGCAATTGAGTCCTAAAACTTATCACGAAAAGTGCAATTCAATCCTAAAATTTTCAAAAAGTGCAATCAGGTCCTAAAACTTGTCCAGTTAGTCCAATTAAGTTATTCTTTTGATTGCACCTTTTAAAAGTTTTAGGACTCAATTGCACTTTCGCAACAAGTTTTAGGACTCGATTGTACTTTTTGAAAGTTTTAGGACTCAATTGCACTTTCGTGACAAGTTTTAAGACTTTTAATGTGCTTATTCCAAAAATATACTATTTTTGACATCCAATATCCATAGTTCAATCGCAAGTTAATATACTTAGCAAAATTTAGAGATAAATTCAATGTAATGAAGAGGCGCCACTGTTCTATATCAATGAAAGTAAAAATAATTTTGACTTTCAGAGAAAAATATCGTTTCATTCTCACAAAACTATAAGCTAAAGCAATAAATGTCTCTAACACCTTTTATCAGGCACGACAAATAAACATATATGGTAAGTGTCTCTGAAAAATCACAAGTAGGTACCGTAATATCCTCGGCATTTGACGGATAAACATATATGGTAAGTGTTTCTAGAAAGTCGCAATTCTCTAGGAGGTAAGAAATCCCAGGGAGGTGCCACTTTGCCAAATTAAGTGTCATTGTCACAGACTTCCAGCTGAAAGTTGGGCAAGGTTGATACATCGGCTCCCATATGCTGAAGACCTGCAGATGGAAAACAGAGAACCATTGGAGGAATTGAGATCCATAAAACATAAAATAGGACATAGAAAAATCTAAAAAAAGTAAAAGAACAACATCTGACCGATAATACTTGATGTTTATATAAATAAAGTGAATCAGAAACATACAACAACCGACAACAACTACTGCGCCTCCACTAATTAAGTCGGATCAAATGCATAAGATAAACAAAGTGGATAACTTCTTGACTTCACGAATTGAAATCATTGCTTTAACCCAAATTTGGGCACCCATCGCCTTGAAAACTGCAGTTTACTGCAAGGAGTACTTGATGGATCCAATCTCCACTACACTTCTATCATACTAGTCAAACAACTAGAATGCCACGCATTACACAGGCTCGAGTTATCACCCACTAGCCCTTCTAAGTATTAATTGATATACACCTCCAGGTGATTTACTTAAGTTTTGGAATTACTGACACAAACAAGTACCCTTAAGGATGAAGGAATCAATCTTTAATTTATACTGAGTAAAGACTACTCACGAAACCTTCCCTTATCAAATATGCAAGATTAAATTCCGTTCTGGAGCCGCCGCCGCCAGCTCCAGAACGGCCGTGACGGCAGGCATGGAAATCGCACTCATGGAAGGACAGACTGCTCAGAGATCTCCAAAGGCCATGGAACGGCCGAAGCATCAAGGATGCGCGGACAGCGCACCTGAAGGGCAGGAAGGAGAGTCTGTGGTGGAGGAGCGAGTCGGGCAAGCCGCTGATCCTGTCGACCGCCTCATCCTCTTTTCTCTTTTGCGGGTCTGAACCGCCGTCAGTTCTCCTCATGGCTGCGCTCATACAAGTCGCGGGAGACACAAGGGAATTCTTCAGGCTGAGAAACAGAAGGAAAAAAAGCTTTCAGGTGGAATCCAAATACTGAATATTTATACCGTGAGTTCATATTGGGCCGGCCCAATAGGCGGGGCTAATCTTGGTTTTTTTATTTTTATTTTATGGAAACTGCTAAGCTTGTTTATTTGTTGATAATAATGGGAGTATTGAAACGAGAAATATAATAAATTTTAAGACTAAATTGACAAATCATCAAAAAATTTAAGACTAAATTTACATTATTGAAAATTTTAGTACTAAATTAGCTGTCACAAAATAGGTTAATGATTTTTTAGATAATTTTTCCTATTGCAGTCAATACATTGCTTCTTTAATGGTGAATCGTCACAGAAGATGTAACATCTAGCTAGATCCCCATCGTTTCAATAAGATGTGCAAGAAGTGAAATCAAATATGATATTTCTCTTCCGGGTATAGTCAATGCATGGTTGAATCAAGTTTTGGATTTAATTTAAGCTCTTGCAACTTTCCAACACTAACTAAATTCTTGACGTCATGAACTAAATAAGAATTCATGTGCTACAGCAAATATGTGCGAAGCGATTATTTCCTCGTAAAGAAAAGACTAAACTTAGAGCACCCATCAGTTATCATTTGTACTAGCAAGAACCTTCCTTTCAGCATTCACACTAAACTTCAACGCACCTATTTTCGTCAGCCCATTCGACGAAGATGATTGATTTCGCAAACCACGTCTATCCTCCGACTACCAAGAACGCAACCATACAGTGTTTGTGTCAAGTGACAATTTTGTTGACTTCAGACTGCAACTTGGTATTTCAGAAGAATCACATCAAGCCCTCACCTTTAACCTTTAAAAGCAATTTTTTTGTTGACCATACAAGGCGACTTCGGACATGAGCACAACCGAAATAAGCCACAGCTCGCGATTTAACTTGGAAGACTACTCAGAGGTCAGAAAAGGTCAAAGATCTCCAAGCAAAGTAACATCAGATTGTTTCCTCATTTGGAAATTGTTTCAACACACGAGCCTCGAGTTTATTTTGAGAAATCAAATCAAGATCCTTAAACTAAACTAGCCACAAGATATATTCAGTTCAATTTATAGTTGATTTCACTGTCAAATTTCCAACTCTGAGAAGCCAAAGTTGAGCACAAGGGTTTGATGGTAACACCATACATTTATAGCTAAAGTGACGAGCAATTTGCTTTTTGGACTTTTCTTACTCTCCCTCACTTTCTTTCCATTTCCAAGTTGGGAACCAACTTTGCACATCCACAAAACTTCCTCTGTTAAAGTCTAGGCCATACTTCCAAAACCAAATTTGCATATTTTGCTTTTGCATATGGATTACGTATTGCCGGAGTACCATTACCGCTATCAATCCAGATTATTACATAGCTTTCCTCTGTTCTCGCGATGTTTCCTGCATCATCTACTTCAAACTTCGATAAATTTAAGATGAAAGCAATAGTCGCTTGGTGAAGAAGCCAACTAAAATGATAACAGGATTCGTAAAGTTGTGTTTCCAATAATAAACTATTGAATCCATCGATTTAAGACCAAAAGAGAAAGCCAGCTAAAAGAAAATGTAAACTGACGACAGAGACATGACTTGTTAGCATAATAGAAATTGTATAAATGAAATAGAGCAGTACTTCTACATTTGAGAAAACCATATCAACATACTGCCATGTGTACGACTGCACGGGGAGAAATTCTCGGTAAGCTAAGAACCTTTTGCGAAAAATCCAGAAGCATATCCGAAGTATAGTCCTTTTCTAGGCCGGAGGTGTCAGCTAAATATAAAATCCCATTTCGATTTTCTTTAGAATTCCTTTTAGTAGAGATCACCATTTTCTCCAAAACCAGTGCGTTCCCAAGTAAAAACTCGATTAGCTCAATCACGTATGGTTCGGTCACGCATGCATATACCATTACATTCTTGAGGTGGTGAGCAAGACAATGAAATGTGCCTTGAACAGAATGCCAATAACTCCTCCCATCAAAATTACACGCTCGATCCCACGTATTTCTCTGAAAAATAGCAAACAAAGTGCAAAGCTCAAGCATTAATAAATCAGACAAATTTAATTTCTAAACAAATATACTGCTTCTGATATCCAATATCCATAATTCAATTGCAAGTTAATGTACTTAAGGAAATTTAGAAATAAATTCCATGTAATGAAGAGGTGCCACTCTTCTCTACCAATGAAAGTAAAAATAATTTGAACTTTTAGAAAAAAAAATATCCTTTATTCTCGAAAAACTGTAAGCTGAAGAAATGAATGTCTCTAACACCATTTATAGGCACTTGAATATTTGACGAATAAACATATATGGTAAGTCTCAAATCTCTAGTAGGTACCTGAATATCTTCGGGATTTGACGGATAAACATATATGGTAAGTGTTTCTAGAAAATCGCAAGCCTCTAATAGGTAAGAAATCCCAGGGAGGTGCCACTTTGCCAAATTAAGTGTCATTGTCACTGACTTCCAGTTGAAAGATGGACATGTTTGATTGTTCAGCTCCCATATGCTAAAGACCTGGAGAATCAATGGAGGAATTGAGATCCTTAAAACATAAAACAAGAAAAACATAAAATAAGACAAACAAAAAGTTAAAAAAAGTAAAAGAATAGCATCTGACCCATAATGCTTGATGTTTCGATAATTAAAGTAAATCAGAAACATACAATAACGACGCCTCCTCTAACTAAGTTGGATCAATACGCAATATTAACAAAGTGGATATCTTCTTTACTTCACGAATTTAAATCATTCTGGCAACCCTACGCCTTGAGAGCTACAATTTACTGCCAAGAGTAATTAATGGATCCAATCTCCACTACACTTTTATCATACTAGTCAAACAACTAGAATGCCACATATTACACAAGCTAGAGTTATCACCCACTAGACTTTCTTGCTATTAATTGATATACACCTCCATGTGATATACTTAAGCTTTAACGCAAACAAGCACCCTTAAGGATGAAGGCATCAATCAATAATTGATACTGAGTAAAAACTCCTGATGAGACCTTCCTTTATCAAATATGCATGATTAGATTCAGACTTTTATCATCACAAACATCAAAAAGCTAAATTACCCAAAAATACACAAACAAAGCAACAAGGTTAGCTGACAACAAGTCCCAGCAATATGCTAAGCTGTCCATAAAGCAGGTCGTGACCTGATAGACTCAATAAGACCAAAAAAAAAAAAAATCGACCATTAATTTGAGATGGATAAATCTACCACAATGCTATTCAAACTGGTATTGAATGACTGCTGAATTTTGACAAGAAAGCACAAATATGGACAACAGAAAAAAGATCCATTCATATCAAATGGCAACAGTGACAATGTTATGAGAAAGAGTGTTTTGAAGATTTAAGCTAATAGTGCAAGACTGGACAATGGACAAACTAAACAAATAAGTCTCCAGCCACCACTGCCAGCTCTCATCAAGAAATTCTAATCTTATCACTTAACATTCAAATCATTTAAATAGAATGGAAACCTACCAGTATACTCCGATTGCACAGAGTAAAATGTGCAATGCTACGGAGCTTTTTCAGAAGCCTTTTGAACTCATAATATTCCAGAAAGACACCTCGTTCCAACAAGAAATCTCCAAAACCGCTGACATAGAGGGCCACATCATTAAGGGAAGACCCGCAATCCAAATTTACATCATCTTGTAATCCATCCAGTTCAAGTGTCATGACATTCGGACAGATTATCTTACTCAGGGGATAACCGACATAGACGGCCAATATTTTGATGCCCGAACTAGCAAGATCCACTTTTTCCAGGTCAACACAATTACAAACATTCAATTCTTCAAGGGACGGGTGCCTTTCGAACTTCAGAACTTGTAGGCCATGGCAATATTGGAGGGACACCTTCTTCAATGACGGGCTTCCCGAAACCAGATTTTGTATCACCTCTTCGCTTAAATTAACATCAAACATCGACAACTTTTGAAGCGATTTCAAATGAATCTGTCCTAGAGATTCGATATTACAAACCTTCAATTTAAGCTCCACCAGGTTACTAGAACCGAGAACAGCACTCGGCACTCTATAGTGAAGAGCTGGCTTTGCTCCCATCGGCCTAGCACAGCCACCTAGGGCAACATCGAGGACCTTCACCTTTTTCTTCAGCGCGAAGCATATCCACTCATCCAGTCTATTTGACATTACTCCACGACCGTCAAATTCAGGGTTAGGAAAGCCACTCGCATGAAAGTTCAACTCGATACGGAACGTATGGATTTTGGGGCTCTCGTGTAGAGCCAACACATGCTCGACGAAATTCAAGAACTCACCGGCTCCAGAACGGCCGCGACGGCAGGCATGGAAATCGCACTCCTCGAAGGACAGACTACTCAGAGATCTCCAAAGGCCACGGAACGGCCGAAGTATCAAGGATGCGCGGACAGCGCACCTGAAGGGCAGGAAGGAGAGTATGTGGAGGAGTAGCGAGTCGGGCAAACCGCTGATCCTGTCGACCACCTCATCCTCTTTGCTCTTTCGCGGGTCTGAACCGCCATCAGTTATCCTCATGGCTTCGCTCATACAAGTCGCGGGAGACACAAGGGAACTCTTCAGGAAGAGAAACACAGGGAAAAGCAGAGGACAGGGCGATCAACGCGAGCTGCGGCGGCGACGAATCACAAGCTTTCAGGTAGAATGCAAACCCTTCTTACGCCGGGCGAGCGATGGTGAGTTCATATTGGGCCGGCCCAGTTGGCGGGGCTAAGCTTGTTTATTTGCTGATCCTATTATATCATTCAAGACTAGATCCATGCACGCTACAAGCGCCACGTGCATTTCGTAAATAACTATAAGCAGTTTTCCTATTTTAAGGTAGGGTTAATACCACATAAAATGGAAAAGGTACCGAAAAAGTCATAAATTTATTACATTACATTAGTATTAATTTCATTTATACGTTGGCGTTAGGCTACGCCCATTATAGATGACGTTGACAAATTTAATAATTTGTTTAGATTTTTTGTTCTTTTTTTTTCTCTTTTTTCTCTTTTCTTTTCTTTCTTTTTTCTTTTTTAAGAAACTGGTAGCCAACCATCGCCGGCCACAAGCGACGGCGATAGGTAAGAGCTGTCAATGACGGATAGCCGAAATGATCTGAAGGTGAAAAAGAAGAAAAACCCGAACGAGGGACAATGAAAATCAAACAAATGATCATAAGAAGACATGGAGTGAAGTCTCCGAAAAAAAAAAAAAGCATCTAGCCGTGGCAAGCGCCATCAAGTTGGGGCAAATGGCTTTTGAGCAATCAAGCATGGGGCAAATTCCTTCTCCTCCAACAAGTAAATGGATCCGAAAGAGACATGCCTAGCAAACAAATGTGGGGCAAATCGTGTTGTGGATGGTGCCTCCAAACACTAAGAAGGGAATATCAAGCTACTTCGAGGAAGGAGTTGCAAGGGAAAAGCCCAAGCGACAAGATGTAAGAAAGAGATTGTCGACGTTCAAGAAAGCTCAAGAAATTATCAGTATAAACTTAAACGAAGGGGCGATTTGAGCAAAGTAGAGGTTCACCAATCAAGCAGAACGGGGCAACACATGTCGGATTCATTCAACTTGGTGTAAAAGGATGTATCTCATTCCTAAACATGATGCGACTCATTATAGAAATAGCACACTCCACCTATTGCCTTGCAGGCAAGGCGTATTTTCAACCACTGGGCAGTACCTACCGCCAATAAAACTTGGTAAAACGGAGTCGTCTGATTTAGCACGAAAGGATATGTTGTTCCTGAACTTGTTTAATTAAATGAAAAAAGGAACGCCCCATGGACACCACCAGCGCCTTGGTCTGGTGGCAAGGGGAATGAAAGGTTCGAGACGCGATTGGGGTTTGATCCCCAAAAATGGCAACAAGGTTGCCATAAAAAATAATAATCATAATAAAAAAAAGTACTTGACCAAACGAGACCAAAGTAAGCGATTTATCACAACATTGGTCTCAAGAACTCAAATTGCTCAAATGCCTGATGAAGTTCGATGGAAATTGAACGATAGCCCATTCAGTCTTTTGTCACCAAATGACAAAGCCAATGAAGGGTAATATTGTATCAATTCCCATTTGCCCTACTCGATCTCTTTCCTACCATATTAAATCTCTATTCTTAATAGGAAATGTCAAGCTCTCAAAAGCTGAATTGAAGTGAAGGGTAATGTTGTATCGTTTTCGGTCTTTCATTTCCCGAGGATTCATGCACTACCACATTCCTTCTTATTCTTTATAGGGTCGCCTAGTTGCCACAATATAGGATTTGCCGAAAAGGCATCGTCATGGACTCGAATGAAGGATAAAACCATATCGGTTCTAATTTATCTCTTCTAACATCATTGTTAACACAATTTTCTTTCTTTTGATAGGGAAAAGATTAATTACTGGAAGAACAAACACAAGGGTAACTTGGTATCAATTCCAATATTCCTTCTTTAATCTCATCTTTGACATAATTTCCTCTTTTTTGTAGGAGCCGTTAACACTTGAAGAACAAGTTTAAGGGTAACGTCGTATCGTTCTCAACTCTCGTTCATCAAAGAACCATGCATTAACATGGTCTCTTTTGTTGCTCTACAAGGTCACCTAGTCGCCACGGCACAGGTAAGTATTCCTTTCCTTAAAACTCCTTTCATAAGAGTAGAAACTCAAAAGGAAAAATCTCTCTAAAAAAAATCTCTTAAATACTTCTCCGAGTTTAATTTAAAAGAGAACGTAGAAGAAATTCGAAACCATTTTCTCCGTAGGTTTTGAATGACATTCTTTATTCTAGATTTGCTTTTCCATGCATTGGTACATGCATCATAAATAAAAAAAATCCCAACCGAGGATAGTTTTAATAAGTGATTTGAACAAATAAAAAGGGAATGTTAAGCATGTCAAGTGGGAGCATCGAGGATAACAAAAGGCAAGCCGTGTCCAAACACGACCCTTATACACACTTTGAGAGTAGAGCGAAAAAGAAAGACCATATCTTAGGACAAAGGATTTATTCGTAAGGAATACATAAATCAAAATGACATGAGACATTTTTTTCTTCTACCCTAAACATTAAACTTGACCCTTGCTAGCCATTTTGAGCCTAAATAGGGAGAATCCTTTGAAAATACCCTATCGAGAACCACTTCACATTGGGGCAAATTGGAGGTTGACATTGAAAGCATTTGGAGAAAAGGTTGAAGAAAGATTTTTTTGTCTTCACTTGCATCAATCTTCTTGTGATGTTTTTAGGTGAATTCTCATGAAAGCTCGAGGTATCCCAAAGTGAAGAAGATAATTCATTTCTCTATCCAAACACTGATTAGCCTTTGAATAGCCAAGTTGGCCTTTAATATTCATTTCTGAACCCAGTTGATGATTATCTCCCTACATTGAGGCAAGGCATGCGATTTGCGAAGAGAATCAATAGATGATAGAAAAATGTCTCGAGATTCCTAAGAATCAGCAGTCCAAGGTATCAAAAGAGCCAAAAAGTTCAAAAGTCGAAAGAAATGAAAACTAAGGGCCTAAAAAAGCAGCGTGCCTAGTAAAAGCGAGGCTCATGCCCGTGAAAAAAAAAAGTGCATCAAAAGCAAAATATTTTTGTGAAGAGAAAACATGCCAAATGCAAAAGCAATTAGAAAAAGAGCGAAGCTCTCGTGTTTCGAATGGATTGATTAATGGACTCTCCAGACAACTTAAATTTCAAGAGTCAAAAGATTTCAGAATTCTTTGGATAAGCTGGTAATGATGCCAAGATAATCACCAATTCATGATCCCATGAAAGAAATTCTAAACCTTTCGAGCCTTTCACCGAACTAACATTATAACCCTCTATGAAGTCTCTTCTAATTGGGATGGTTCGAGTGGACGTAAGGATTTTCCAAAGAAACTACCACTCGAAGGAGTGGAAGCAATGATCTCTTATCTTATCTTCGAGGTTCTTGACTTAAAAACCCGATGAAGATGACGAACTGAATATTCTTTCTTGGCCTCAAAGCGATTATCCTTTGTATAAACCCATGACCATATCAACATTACGGTCCTCAAAAAAGACCTTTCAAATTGATGAAAGTGTATTCATTGCGAATATTTCCGAAAACCTTCGACATTGGTTATGTGAAGTATTTTGTGTGATTAGGTTGATCGCCCACATCAATGGATGGGATCGAAATCCTTTCTTTGAGAGCTCGTGAGAAGACCTTCCATTTGGCATCTTCAACAAAATCTTTGAATGAGTCTTGATCATTTTGTTGATAATTCCCCTCCAAAGGATTTTGATAATTGATGGTGTTTTGTTAAAGTGAGGTCCCTGGATTAACTCACTGAGGTATTGTACACTTTGACTCGTTCCATATCGAGCCTCACGGTTTTTTCTTTTGCCCGGGAGGTCACTCATCCTGGGAGTACTCTTACCTGAGCATGATTAATTTTGGAAGCTTGCCATTACTTTCAAAGGTGCTTCCGTGAGTTAATTCCAATTTTCACATATATAGTTTAGAATCACTCTCCCCCTATTTGGTACACAGTTTGGTTCATTTCTGCCATTTTTGCCATTCTAAAAAGTCTACTAGGAGCCACTTCTTGTCTAGGCTTTCTGGCCCTAGCAACCACTTCCCGCCCTCGTCGGACTGGGTCGTTACAAAAAATGAACCAAATACTTCAGCTAGAAGAATGACTCAATTAAGAACTGTGCCGAATCAGGCATGTCAAGCACATAGTAGGCTATACTGTTAAATAAGTTTTGATTTTCGTATTGGAATATTGTGATTCAATTCACCACAAAGATGAAGAAAGTACGAAACTTCCAAACGGGTTGAGTCCAGTAGTAGATCGAAGTGCGATAAAGTCTTCCATTCATCACTTTTCCGGTTTCTCTTACGTGGTAACCTCTAACTTTAGAGATTCCATTGCACTAGTTAGAAAATATTCAAAACTCAATTGCACCAATCGAAAGAATAAACCCACAATTGCATTACGTACCCGAGAGTTGAGACTTCCAGTGAACTCCTCCAACGATATGCATCCACATTCAGTTTTTCCTTACAAAATAAATAGATCACTTGGAGTTGAAAAGCTAGAGTTCCAAAAAAATTTACAGGATGTTTACTATGTTCTTCCACCACATAATTAAAACCAAAAACAATTAACTAAGAGGGAAATTTGAGCCCCAAAGTGACAGCCAAGCAACTAAATCCAAATTCGTCTCGAAACAAGATAAATTCAAGGACCCTCACATGGACTTAGTAGCTGTGAAATGGCGAGTATGGTTCATACCCTCCAAACCCCCACAGAAGCCAAAGCTGCAAGAACCAGAAAACAAATTAAACTCGCTCGTCAGCGTTTCCTTCAACGAATTAACCATAAAACACAAGGAATGGAACCGCATTGAATGGAATCTCTAACCGTTCAAGCAAACGAGGCGTCGTCCCCGGAGGCGCATGTGCATTTGCTAGTCCCCAGCATTCCACTCTCTTTCACAGTTAAAGAAGCTTCACGAGATTCGTGGTCTCCGGGGTCGAGGTGGTGGAGAGCCCGCATCCATCGAAGAAACCCTGAATGTCGGCACCCATGACGGCGGAAGCGGCTTGAGATGGGTCGAATGAAAAAGATACAGAACACGAAAAACCGGCGATCAGGAAACGGAATTTCATCGAGTTCCAGATGGAAT